GACAGACATACTTACAATGCACACACGCTGTTGGCGACCCATGTTACGTACGCCGCACGCCGACGTTTCGCACGCACACACAGTCCAAATATTCTCTTTGTACCAACCCGCGCTTCATATCTCTTCAACATGAAAATGTGGATGATTATCGTACTATAATTCTTAGAGTGCGAAGCCTCGAATCAACACCCTCGCAGACTGTGTAAGTACCCGTGATCACCAAAGCGTAAGTGTGCAGGGACAGTAGGGCCCTACGGACAATCTAATTATTACCGGACGACTTATTGCTATTGGGTGCGGGATACCCACCGGTGGCAAAAGCGACGCCCTGCAAGGGTACATTCTTCTCATGAATTGTTAGCAGGATCATACAATAATAGCGTTATACTATAGTGATATAGTGCTGCATTGTTTTTTATTTCACATTTCCGCACGTTTCATTTATTTTCCCTGTGTGTTGCGCAATGAATTCCTTTAGTCGCGTCTACGTTTTTGGTTCAATTGTTCAGGGTCGACACCTAGGACCGGCGGACCACATGATTTCAAGGAACGGACGGGCGAGCAGATTGCGTTGTTGGTTGTCCTGGGGGGCAGGGGCTGTGCGCGTCCAGGCTACGCTGGTGTTTACGCTCGAGTCTCTACCTTCTATGAATTGATCGTGCAGTATATGAACTAGAATGAGTAAGCCGAAGTCAATGGACAACACATGAATATAAATTTACAATATCACGGTATTCATCAGACACTTTAATCACGTTTGGGTTTACCTACATCTATTTTCTTCAGCTGATATAATGATTTTGATGCTATCTGTGGTGTAGCGAGATTCGCAGTTCGTTGAAAAGTTACAAATGTCTAAAATATTGATGTGATTGATGTAATTAATAAAAGTGATCGTGCAAAATTACACGAGTTGTTCTGAATATACGTTTAGGCGAGGGGCGGTAGTAGACGAAGGAGGCTGAGCGAATGACAAGGGGACAATGGGAAGGACGGGGGAGATGACGTAAGTAGATGAGGTGTTTTGGCGTTTCAGGAGTACATTACAGACTGACGAAAACTGCATAATATATCTTGCTGGGAGAGAGAGAGGTGGGAGACTGAGGAAAGGCGGCAGGGAAGATAGCTGAAGGCGGTAGAAGAAGAAGGAGGCTGAGCGAAGGACAATGGAGGCAAGGGGATGGACGGGAGAGAATGAAGTAGGAGTTTTGCACTCTACAAGCTAGGGCGCTCTCCTAATTATGACACAGGTCTACTGATAATAGTTTATTGCATAAATCTATGCTGAGATACCCCCTAACCATATTAAATTTATATTCATCACAAAATATAACTTCTCTCGTGAGATATTGCACATACGCTAACACACAAAGTAGCCAGATTCAGTACTGACTGGTATATATGCAGCGGGCACCTTACATGCAAGATCTTTTTCCTATTTCTTAACAGAGGTCTACTGATAAAATATTATCATATAAATCTATGCTAGAATACCTCCTCTCCATTTCAAATGCATAATTTTTGCAAAATATTTTTTTATCGGGAAATATTGCGCATGCGTGAGCACCGTTTCAGGCGTGTAGTACGGACTGAAGAAAACTGTATAACATAGCTTGCTGAGTGAGAGAGGGTGGGAAACCGAAGAAACGCGGCAGGAAAGATAGCTGAGGGACGGTAAAAGAAGAATGGGGCTGAGCGAAGGACAATGGAGGCAAGGGGAAGGACGGGAGTGGATGAAGTAGGAGTTTTGCCCCCTACTAGCTGGCTATAGGGCGCTCTCCTACTTATAAACACAGGTCTACTGATAACAGTTTATTACATAAACCTATGCTGAAATACCTCCTAACCATATTAAATGCATATTCGTAACAAAATATATCTCCAATTGTGAGATATGGCGCATGCGCTAACACACTAACGTAGCCAGATTGAGTACTGACTGGTATATGCAGCGGACACCTTACATACAAGGCCTTCTTCCTATTTCTTAAAAGCGGTCTACTGATAAAATGTTATCATATAAATCTATGCTAGAATAGCTCCTCTCCAGATTAAATGCATAATTACCGCAAATTCTCCTTCTTCTCGGGAGATATTGCGCATCCGCTAGCGCCGTTTCAGGCGTGCAGTACAGACAGAAGAAAACTACATAATTTATCTTGTTGAGAAGGAGGGGTGGGAGACTGAGCAAATAGGTGGTACTTTTTATGGGTTACAGGATTTAAACAAGGACTCGAGCAGATCCAGGAATGCAAAAGATCACATTGTTTAGTTGAACTATCTAGTTACAGTAAAATACTATAACGTTATACTGTACCAGTTTTTATTATTCTTTATCCGTTGTTCTTATTCTTTATATTGTTTCGTCTTGATTATTGTCATTTTACATATGCAATGTGACAGATTACTATATGTATAATAGTACTATATAAAAATTGATGATAAATTGTAACGTTTATTTTGTATGTGATAATGCCACAGTGACACACACACGAGTGTGTGTGTGTGTGCGTGCGCGCGCGCGTGCGTGTGTGAGTGCGTGTGCGTGCGTGCGTGAGTGCGTGCGTGTGCGTGCGTGCGTGCGCGCGTGCGGGAGGTGGGAGAGATGTGTTTGTGTGCGTTTCTATGAGTGCGTGCGTGTTTGTGTGCGTTTCTATGCGTGCGTGCGTGTTTGTGTGCGTTTCTATGCGTGCGTGCGTGTTTCAATGATATTCCAAGAACGGACGGCAGCAGATTGCTGTGGTTTCCTGGGCAGGGGCTTGAGAGAGAGAGAGAGAGAGAGAGAGAGAGAGAGAGAGAGAAAGAGATAGAGAGAGATAGAGAGAGATGAATTCAAAACTACGTAAAATTGTGTATGAACCAGCGACAGTGTCATGACGATTTTATTGATTGTTTGAATTACAGATTGCACAGCTTCTACTTCTCTATCAAAATGGTGTCACGATAGACTAAGTGATGGAAAGACGTCAGGAGTGAGAAATGCACATACGCTGATACCCAGTGTAATTATATCGCTACACGTATGACCTGTGATTTTGTTCAGAATTTGCCATGGTTATAGTGGGATGCAATCCTGCTCTGAACAAAGAGTGCTCTGAGTGAGCGGCGCGTCTACTTCAGAACTTCACATGAAACCCCACGACATATGAGAACTTTTCCCTCAGTAGGAGCCTAATATATATTGCAATAACCAAACATTAATTGTTTGAATGTTTGTAATATATCTATCCTAAATCCTGTGTATTTTGATATAAAGACGAGGAGCGTACTTAAATAGGAATACTTATATAACTTATATAAATAGGTGAGCAAGATTTACGTGCACGCTAATTACAACAGTGATTTTAGTCACGACGTCGCTACCCAGTCAGTACCATGATTCTGAGATCCACCATTTCATATTCTGAAACCGCCAGTCCCATAGGTTTGGCGGCAACAAACAGCGGAAGTTACGCCGGAAAAGACGCCATTATCTCTGATTGGGGTTCCATCCGAAAAGGTAACGTATCGCAAGAACGCATCAACATGTTTTGCTCATACAGAAACAGCAGTCAGAGAAGACGTATTCATTATTGCATGTCGCAGAAGGAAGTATTTAATAGGAACTATTCAGTTATTTAAAAACATGTGCCCTTTAATCAATAAAGTTTTGTGTTATGATAAAATATGCTCACTAAGAAGTAACCCTTTAGACAAAGACAGAAACACACGTATGTACGCTCATATCCGAGAGCATATACTTACATGCACACACGCTCTGGCGCACCCATGTACGTACGCACGCACGCACGCGCACGCACACACATCCAAATTCTCTTTGCTACCCCAACCCGCGTTCATTCTTCTTCAACATGAAATGGATGATTTCGTTATATCTTAAGTGGAAGGCAATCTAACACCCTCCAGGCTGTGTGAGTACCCGTGATCACCAACGAAGTGTGCAGGGAACAGTACGGACAATCTGATATTACCGACGACATGCTATGGGCGGGATACCCACAAGGTGGTAAAGACGCCTGCCAGGTACATCTTCTCATGCATGAATTTAGCAGGATATAGAATATAGGTTATACTATAGTGATATATGTTGCAATTGTTTTTTATTTACAATTTCGCGTGTTTCATTTATTTTCCCTGATTGTTGCAATGAATTCTTTAGTCGACGTTATTTATACGTTTTTTGGATTTCAATGTTCAGGGTGACTCTGGCGGGCCAATGATTTCCA